TATATATATATATATATTTTCTGACACTGCAAAGATTCACAAACATGTATATAGAGTTTCTTTTTAACACTTAAGATAGAAAAAGAAACATGTTATCTGTCAATGTTGTCATTCGACTGACACCGGAAGAAGCCCACGGCGAAAGTTTTCAAAAGTCCGGTCAATCGATGTTTTAAGTGTGTGTGGCTAAAGGCGATAACTCCGAAGTTTGAATATCTTGCTTTTTTAATTTTATGAGACCATTCATCAATTGTTTCCAACGCTTTTTGTACCACATTTAAACTATTTATACATCGTCAAGTAAAAACAGTTATGTGGAAAAGTTTATATGCTAATTATGCAACACTCAAGGTCGCAAGGGACCGCGAGCTCCGTTAATTTTGTAGTTGCAAGAAATATTTTAAATGAAAGTTTATTTCTTGCATATGATGATATAGAGCTGAAAAAAAGTGAAAGTTGAATAATATTTTTGATTGATTAATTGAATTAGATTTGCCATTTTATTCCTTCCATTGCATCCAAATGTTAATTTATTCCTTATTTCTATATTTCTATAACAAAATGTGTTTGCAGATTTATTTAATACTAGTGGGCTGCGCCCCCTGCTCGCTAACGGTCGCCAACTCCCAAAAATTGCTTCGCAATCTTATATGGTTTGATTCGCAAACCAAGCTCACTTCGCTCGCTACTAACTTAGGTACATTGCAAATGCCTAAAATTCAAAACAATCATTCAAGAATTCAAAACAATCATTCAAATCCATATAGCAACTTTTTAAAAAATAAATTACATATTTTTAGTAAATAAGTCATTAAAATAAAAGTCATAAAATAAAATAATAAAATAAGTAATAATAAAAAGTCATTAAAATAAATTTGAATTCAAATAAATGACATGTAATTCGTTGAACCTATTACAGATATGCTATAGTATAAAATCATAAAGCGTAACAGCACGACTGAGACTCATTTTTCAATGAATAACTAATAACAATAATAAAACAAATAAATTCGTGATATAAATCAAAAATAGTCAAATAAATTCGTAATATATAAATTTGTGAAAAAAAGCGCTTTCGACAAAATACTAAAATAGAGATCTTTCGACAAAGACTACTCACTTCTGCCTAGCTTAATAGTATGAAATTGCCGCAGCTGATGCCCTCTCAGGTTATTTCAGTTTCCGTTTTTAAAAGTGCTATATGTTGAGCCACCTCAGCTGGATTTGGCAGTGACATTTTTAGCGGTAATCATTGGTCGATTTTCTAGCGTTCCCAGTCGGGGAGTTGTAATGAGGCTTTTTTTGTCGCCGTGTAAGAGAAATATATATATAGATGAATGACAGAAATGTATTTTCAAAAAAAAAAAATTCTTAATTAACAGTACAGTGCTGTTTATCAATTGGTGATAGAAATGAGCTACATGTTTAGCAGACTTACGCTTGGCATGTTTTCACTATTGGCGGGTAGAGGGTCATTAGGAGAAAGACGTATGTCAGTTTCTGTCCTGCAAGGATAGTTACACGTAACTGAAAGCTACATTGAACAAAGTTCTAAAAGAAAACATTGTGGAAATTAAAAAAAATATTTTTGGCAAGTAGGGGAGAGGGGGGCACATGTGAACAAATTTTTTTATTTCTTCACTTTTCGAAAAATATCATCAATTTTTCATAGTAAGAAAGTCCATATGTTTAAATAGTCTTTTCTTTGTCTTGTGGAATTTTTTGAGATTTTTCAATAAAATATTTCTTTACTTTATAATATTTTAGAAAAATGACTTCAATTGTTCACATGTGCCCCTATTGGGGGCACATGTGAACAGGCCTGGGGCACATATGAACAAGATTAAAAACACAAAGCAATCATCATATTTCAAAGAAAAAAAATCTTTAATATAACAGATATAGATACGCATTATACTGAGGGGGTTGTAGCTTACTATGTGAATTTAAATTGTACAACAGTACTGTCAATAAGAAAATAATTTTTCAGCTGTACAATAATTTATCCGTAATTGGGTTTTTCGCAACTTCATGTTCCACGGGTGTTGTAATGGGCCTTTTTCTTTCTTCTCTAATACTCTTTCATGTTTTTTTTTTCATTTTTTCTATCTTTTCATTTGTAGCTTTAACAATTCTATTTTCTCAGGTGTATCAGTTAATATGCGTGATGCGCGATCAACCATTTAATAAAAAAAAAATTTTTTAAAGGAAAAATTAATAAATTAATTATGGAAAATTAAATAATGATAATTTTAAATGCATACATATTTTTTAAACTTATAATATCATGAGGATAATAATCTTAATACTATGTAGGGGCACTTGTGAACTGTTCACATCTGCCCCAGATGTTTTGTTCACAAGTGCCCCCATCATCCTTCTTAAACCTAACTTGAAAAATAAAGAACTTTTAATTGAGTAAAAAAAAAGAATAATTGTCATAAACTTACCTGAATGTTCATATAATGATCTGCAATAGTTAATTTTAGTTTATTAGTTGATTTATATTATGCTTTCACTTGGAGAAGCGAGCGATTATAATATATGCAACACCAGCTGATACAAAGAAATTGTCAGAATAGACCAACAAAATGTCTCATTGTTCTGAAAGTTTTTCAGAGAGGTAGGACTAGTACTGCCATCAATTGAAAATTTTTCGAGATTTTTTATTTCAAATCATATTGGTAAAACATACCATGTTCACATGTGCCCCCTGTTCACATGTGCCCCCCTCTCCCCTAAATATGAAAAATATTAAGACAGTGGAAAATATCGTATAGTGCAACTTTCAGGAGAACTCCTCCCGACTTCAGTCTCGCGTCGTGGCGGTTACTATGGTAACGAGGAAAAGTCATTTCGAATAGGGGTGTGGGGTGAATAGTTTTGTCATAATCTTGACCTAGGTTGGAGTGAGTAAACCAATCGATGCCTTCTTTCTTCCATTTCACCTCCATTAGAGATGTGTTCGCGCTTGTTACCATAGCAGCATTCAGCACAGACTTTTAGTCCGAAGGAGTTCTCCTCAAAGTCGCTCTATAGTACGTGCTTATACGACTGAGATGAGAAGAGGGATGGAGGTAGGGTCAAAAGATGGAACCTGTCTTCCTAGTGTTGCTATCGAGAATAGTGTAAAGATATAGAGCAAACCAAAGACTTTCTTCCTACCAGTATGGATTAGGAGAAGAGGAAGGTGCAAACCCGCTTCAAGAACCTCTGCTGTTGTGCCCCTAAATGTTGTTTTTTCCTACATACACAGGGACCGCTCTTCACCTTCAGGGGCAGGTTTACAGTATATCAATGAAAGCTACACTCCCCCCCGCATATTCTTTGGTACTACTGTGCTTAATTTGAAAATAATTTGAAACTCTGGTATTTAACGCTTCTTAAAATTTAAAAAAGTCTGAGAGAACACAATTTAAAAACACCAAATAATAACATTTATTATTTTTTATAAATATTTGATGAGAGAAAAAATAACAGGCTGAGAAAAAAGACTGGAATGATTGATACAGTGACGAGTGATTAGTAAGTCTCCACATTCATTGACTGATGTTTTCTTCCATTGAATTGAGATGAAGCAGAACTGGTCCTCACCGAGCGAATTTTTCTGTAAGTAGAGAGAGCAAATGAAACTTCAACTTTTGAGCTGTTGCCACTAGATGGTGGTCTATCACTTTTTCTCAAATGGAAAGCTCCGTAAATGACAGGGTTGAGTACAGCAGTGGAGCTACCGAAAAAGAAAATGACGTCATGCAGATCCTGATCAAGTTGTTCGTCTGGATCCAGGAAAACAGATATGATCATGCTGATGTAATAGGGTGTCCAGCAAACGATGAAAGTTAAAACAATGACCACTGTGATCCACAGGGATTTGACCTTTGCTTTCCGGAGAATCTTGCGGCGGGCATCATCGAATGGATTTTGGGAGCCACCGAACACACGATTTTTACCTACGAAGAAAAGTGAATTAGTAATAGAGCAAAAGTTTGAAATCTGTCTATCTCAAAAATTTTCTTAGTAACTTAAATCTCTTTGATTCTTTGTAAGGTTCCTAAAAAACATTAGGACGATTTCGCAAATTTACATTCTATTCCGTATTAAAGCAACTGCGCTTGATCGTGCCTTTTTAGATCTTACGCTTTGTTTTGCATGGTTTTATAAATTTACCAGCACGCTATTCATAGCTGTAGAATTTTGTTTTCGGCTTAAGTTTACTTTCGAATATGATGATTGCAAGTGTTTAGATTGGGTATCTTGATCCTGACTGATTGTTGAAACGTGGCATTTGTTTACGTTAGCAACTGTTCTTTCTATTCTATTTCGAGTAAGCCAAGCCCGTCAAATATCAATTCTCGATAGTGACACATTCCATATTCTTACACAAAGATTCTTTCACAAAGATTTAATTTCTTTCACTATATATTTCTTACAACTGCCAGNAAATTAATTAATTTAAATATTAAGTATAATTTATAGGATATATACTTTTTTTATAATGCCATTACATATTTCTATTAATATAAAAAATTTCAGAGCTTTTTATTCACTTTACTTTTTTGGGATTTTATGAACTGTAAAACAGTTTTCGTGAGAATGACCCATATATATATTCACTATATTTATTCACTAAGTATTTCTCACTTAACACAAAGACAGGCACGACGCCATGTGGGACATAAGGAAACTAATTATGCATCGAAGTTGCCAGGTACACGAAACAATAATCTATCTCAGTTACAATAAAATACATCAATAAATCTAAGTTAAGTGAAAGACATAGACGAGAAAGAATTCTATGTTAGCAAATTTTATGCACGAAAGTGTATTTAATTAACATTCTGACTTATGTGGAGAAACTTAGTTCAAATTTAATACGCTATTTTGCATATAAACGATCAGCTGGCACTGAATTGGCCAATTTTTACGGTCTTCAAGAAAAGTTTCTCTCCTTCAGAAGGGAAATTACGATAAAAAATGACATTGTCAAACGATATTTTATTGACATTTAGCCAACACTTGAAAAAAAAATAATAATTAGCTGGATCCCTATATGCATGAAAGTAACGAAAATTGGAACATTTTATTTTAAGTTTATAAAAATAAGACTCAAGTATGATTGTAAAAATCTTGCTAGTGCATTAAATATAGAAATAAAATCTCCTGAAAAGTCCAAAAGAGTAGATAGCTATGCTCCTGTAAATCTAGTATTTTCCTAGTGTAGCAAAAGTAATAAATTAGTAGCTTGAGAGTTATAATTAGGAATATCTGGATCCCTTTGGAAATTGCTTGACGTGAAGTCATTTCGAATTTCTGTGTTTATATTTTTATAATACATTGAATAGACGATATCTTTAATACGATTATCTATCTTTTACGATCTTATTTAATAATATAATATTGGAATTCTATTAATATTTCTGTTTATTCCCAAATAATTCCTATTTTTTCTTATAATTAATTTCGGTCCTTTTGTTGTCATTTCATTAGTTTGCACACATGCCACAAGAATATCTTTATTCGTTATTATTTTATTATTTAACCACGTTATTATTTTGCTTAGAGTTATGCTTCTAAAATGCGAATCTATAAAACTAAATAATTTAAAATCAGCAGTAATTGAAATAAAAAGTCAAGTATTTAATTAGTAGTAATCCGTAAAGGCGAAACATAACAGTTTGTAATACTCTTATTAACGCTAATGATGTTTGATTAAATCTGTTATTAGATAATAATTTAATTAAAAAAATAGCTGTCTTCTATAAAGCAAAATTAATGGAGAACAGTAACTATTCTTTTCAACTAATCTTGAAAAATTACTATACTCTTATTGACTCCAATAAGAGTTAATTAATTTTAATTATGTGTGCAAATTGAAATAAAAAAGTTCTGTACTGAGAAAAGAAAGATTAACGGTGAAATGGTACTAATTTGTTTAAAAGGAAAGTAAAAAAAATTATATATATATATAATTTATATTTTATATCTTAAAGAAGC